ACCATACAGGAATGCTTGTCATGTGCCTTTTAGGTGTTTTGCTTAGCAGAATTTCAGGCAGAATTAGCCCTCTTTTTCCATCAGCATTATACCAGCAGAATAAGGAATTTACCAATTACTTGAATAGAGCTTTAAGTCACATTAATTGATTTATGCTTTTGTATAAACTATTAACTTGTTATTAATTTTTAAAGGTACGTTTTATTAACATGACAATCAAATACATTGCTACTATTCAATACTAATGGAATCATCCAGTGATGATATGAACGGAAGAAATTTGGACAGTACAATTAAAAGAAGGATAAGATCAGAGTTATTGCGTGAGGCCAGCTGAGAGAAAATCTAGCTTCTTTTGTGCTTTGCCAGAGTTCTCCGTAAGCTCCGGCGACCGACGAAACTCGCCGTCTAGTCATCCTTGGCGCACTGGCTACTTATAGTAAATAAATTATGAAAAACTTTTATTTGTAACAATGTGAGCCTATCCGTCAATAAAATCAAGCAAAAAAACAATGTGTCAAATTTTCTCAACAAATAAGTAGCCATTAAAAAATACAACTCTTATAGCTGTAAGATAAAAGAAATCTGAAATCATTCAGGCCGTGAGAATTGCCGCCAAAAATGTGACGTGAGTGCCGTGACACCAGCACTAAAATATTTGACAGTCGAGGTTAAGTTGAAGCTGTTTTTCCTCTGAAAATGAAGCGAAAAACCCAGCAATTGCTGTTCAGTATCAGGGATAAATTGAAAAGAAAATAGAGATGACACAAACGAAGGTCATAAGTTGTTTTCTTTCAAAAATATAATTAAAATTAGTTCTTTTATCTCCAGTGAATGTAATTTAATTAGTTCTATAAACACAACAAAATGCAACCCAGTGCTTGGCTCGCACATGGAGGATTTTCAAGAACAAATAACTGCAAAGATTTCTTTCAACAAAAGAAACAAACTCTGCAAGATCTTACACAATCTTTAAACTCAGCAGCTGTAAGATGTTTGTGTAAATATTGAAAGTGAGATATAAAACTGGCGAGCTTATCGAGCAGGGAAGTATGAATAAATACATGCACTATTTCAAGGCTTCATTATAAAGCGAAACTTTTGCAAAATATGTCAAGTTTAAGTTTGATTGTATTAATTTTATCACTTTTGAAATCATGAACAAAAAACGCAAACTACCGCAAAGGTTCAAAATATTGATGACGGTCCGCACGCTTAATCAGAAAAAATCCTGAGCTTAAATCCGCAGGAAACTTCACAAAGTATTACAGGCTTGCGCTTGCAACGGTTACCAATCACAGGCTTCATCACATTCGATGATTTCCACCCCTAGCACTGTGTTAAAGCCTTTCAAAACCTGTCTTTTAACAAAATATATGTCAAACCTCAATCTAGTACCTTCAATGCCAGCAAAACTCTTTTCTCGTTTGGCTTTCTCATCTGTTTTTACATGCGTGATTGACCACAAAATGAGAACGTTTTTGATATTTTTTTTCAAATTTGATACGGATGACGATGATTAACCTGTTCAACTAACACAATATATTACATGTATGCTTTTCTCCGTGAAATTGCTTTTCTTTAACAAAAGAACAAATCCATGATTGCTTAAAATACACTGAAATGCACTTTTTAGAACCCAAATTTCAAAATTTTCCCGGGGAGGCTCCCAGACCCCCCATGAACGTAAATTTACGAGACAACCAGTCAATTCTCCCCACAGTAATGTTATACTGAAGTCCCACACAGGGCAGATCAAATATTTACAATCACCAACCTGAAAAGAACATGATAGTAACATCCTATGGCCGCCAGTGTGTGCCATAATGCATGTAACTGTGCAAATGGTCTGACAGGAGGGAACAGTGAATTCCTTACGTCCCTGATAAAAAAAGACAGCACTTTCAGAGATTAATGGAATCATATGTACTAGAGGTATCCACAGTCAAGTACCAAACAATACCTCTGATTGACCCTCGATCATCATCTCAAACATCATCTCGATCACCACTCAATTGAAATCTCAATCGATACTTAGTTGACACTTAAGAACAAAACTTGATTGACATCTCGATCGACACTCGATTGACACTCCGTCGATAGCTGGCCAAGTGTCAACCAACTTATATTTATCGATCGACACTTGAATTCGTTGACTCTCGCCTGACTGTTGACTCAGAGATGTCGATTGAGTGTTGACTGAGTATCACTCAAGATCTTGATCAGAAGATGTTTCTGGAGTGATGATCAAGGGTATTCATTGACACTTGACCTTGGATGCCTTTAGTAAACATGATCCAATTAATGCAAGCTCTTTGAATTCCTGGCAACAACTTTAAAGATCCTAAAGATTCTTGACCAAATATACTTTAGGATCTTGATTAAGAAACTTAAAATGATACTTGCCATTTACTGCTACAAAAGTTTGATATATTCAGGAGGTCCTTAAAATAATTTCACCACAGAACACACCAATATGAGTGCCTCTTACCTTATGTATGGACAAAAGTTGTTGTCAATGTTCCAAAGAATAAATCCAACTGCATAGCTAGAAAAAAGTCAATAATTTTTCTTTTTACATTAATTTATAAAGTTCACGGACAGTGAATATTTATCAAATCATATGAACAATTTCTCTGGAATTTCTAGTTATATTTACTCATTTTATTCAGTTTTAGTATTTATTTAAAGCATTTTTTTAGACTATGAGTAGTCCCTCTTTCGCTTAGTACGTCGTGCGTGATGCGAAAGAAAACCGCGAGAAAAAAATGGCCGCACGAAATCCTGGAGGCGAAGAGCGCGCGAAAGGAGGGACTACCGCCTAAGCCCAAGAGTTTGAATTATGCGTTG